GCCGTCAGACTCAGAAAATATTGTATTCAGAATTTATTGATTATAACTAAAATACATATTTGCGGCCTTTTAAATAGGGTTGAAGAGGCTAAAGGAGAAAACGGAAGTGATCAGTTGTAGTTATATGGACCATTACAGACAAGTATATATGGTATAATAAATAAATAAAACTCTACCGATCGCAGGTTTATTAGTTAATTTCAAATCTTTTAAATAGTTATTCTTTAAGGACCATCTCTAACAGGTTTGATTTGCTAGTTCTCAAAGCTGCAACACATATATTTGCTTTTCGAGCTAAATGAAATCACATGAGAAGTTATAAAGAATTGAGACATAACTCGTTTACCCATCCTGGCTACTTTGATCTATTAAAAATGTAATCCTCTTTTAAAAAAAAAGTAAAAGCATGTTTCCTACCAAGCAGGAAGTTATTTTTAGGCTCCCGTGTAGGTCAAGTCTTGAAGAGTTCATGAACTGAGGCTCCATTATAAATAATAGTAATAATAATAGTAATAAAAATATATTTGTAATACAGATTCAAATCTCCTCGCAGCTAAAAGGGGTTCTTCGCCAAAACCAGATTTTTAAGGGGGGCTTGGGGAAAGGTGATATAAAGAAAACCAACAATTTCTCCAGCATAAAAATGAAACATCAAATTAGTTTGCCTCTGGGCTTCATTTTTCCCCTTCTACATTATAACTAGTTATTGAACTAGCTAGAAGATCTAAAGGCCATTTGTGAGGAGACAAATTTCAATGGAGTTCCCCCATCAATAACTCCTTGGCAGTGACCTATTGGATCAAGTCAAACAGTTGAGGTGAAATTCAGGTCACGCTGTCTAACCAATATTAAAATGCGCCCACTTTTTAAAAAGCCACTTTCAACGAGATTTGAAGAAAATTGAATTCCTGGGTGGGGTAGAAAGGGGGGGAATAGAGAAAGAGAGAGAGATTGAGAAAACGGTTTGCATATTTTTTACAAACAAACAACAGGAATTCATCTTTAATATCTTAGAAAGAGGGGGTAAATATTTACATTATTACAGATTCGGAGACTAAAGAGGCTAAAAAGAAAAATGTGAAGGGTAGTACTTCTCCTGACATGCTCTGGTTATTAAAATCGTTTTAGGCCGATTCATTACTTTTACTGACAACAGATTTAAGAAAAAATCAATTAAACATTTGCATATTTCTTTGCATAAATTAGACTTGTCTATTTGCATTATGAAGGAACAAAAAGGAAAGGTCTTTTTTGCACTTACTGCTTTCAAGTTGTTAGAAAAATTAAAATTTAATTAATTACATGTCATTGCATATGTCACAGAGAAACCAACTATTTTTTTCTGCAAGAAACTATCTGTCTTCCCCCCCCCCCAGCACACACACTAATGTAACTTATTGTATAATAATCACCTTAAAATAAACCCTTAAATGCTTTGAAATAAAACTCTACTCAAAAATTTATTTCCTGCCTATGAATCTCAAGAAGAGATAGTTCATAGTGGGAGGTTTGTTGTTTTATTATTATTATTAAACATTGAATAACAAAACCCCAGTAGCTAGGTACTTCATTTTCTAGGATGCACAGATTGCTAATGGCTTGAGGTACAGGTTACCAAACGGTCAGTATGGTAATAGCTAAGACAATGAATCCGCAGGGACAATAGTCACTTATTTTTCTTCAGTACTGTCAGAAAGGCGCTTTGTACTCAAAAATGTTCTTGAAATGGTAACCAGATCTATATTTTGCAACCTGATTCCTGGGTAGAGAAGGAAATAAAGACCAGAAATTATTTTTCCGAGGTGCTATATTTCTCTTGGCGTTGTCAGTCCAAAACTGTTTGTCGACATTGTTGGGCTGGCTGGGGAAATTGAGGCGAAAGAGAGGGGTGGGAAGGAAGGTTTATAGACAAAAGAGCCAGATTCTTGTACAACTATTCTTCACACGTCCTTGCAGACTTATTTTATGGAGACAAAAATTCTGCCAAACACTTAAAGCAAAAGACACATCTAAAAACTCCACTAAAAAGACAAAAAGAAAAAACCAGACAAGTGAGGGGGGAAATATATTTGTGCACTGCTTAGATATAATGTGCAAGAAACTAAAATAGAAGTCGGGGGTGAATTTAGATTGACAAGGCAGGAGGGCCAGGCGCTTCTTGAAATAAAACCTTTTTTAAAAAAATATTTGCAATTAAGTCCCAAAGCTATAAGAATAACAAATCATTGAAATAAAATTGCAGTTCTCTCTTGGCCATCTGGAACACTGAGCGAAAGGCTTTTTTAAGCCTTCGAACTGTAGGTCAGTAACTCATTGGTAGAAATTGGTTTGGGTGACCTTCACGCCTGGGATTTTTGAACTCTTTAGTTGTTGTTGTTTATGATAACCACCGAGTATGTTCTTAGATAACTACCTGTGGATATTTTTTTAATGCCTCTCCTCTGTGGCTTACCGAGATTCATCCATTAAAAAGACATGCCTAGGTAAAATTACTTTATTAACTCTACATCTTTATTCAATATCCCCGCAGCCTCGGGAAAAAAGTTTTTTGCATCAATATGAACAATAAATGTCAAAATCCTGTCTGAGTCCAAGGTGTTTGGACAGCATGAGATATAGCTAGTGAAAAGGAATTTATTGGACAGATTTGAATCAATGTTTTGAATACCAGAATACATTTCCATTCATGTCTTTTGCATACTCTAGATTCTCCCGCCACCCTCCTTACAACTTTTCTTTAGAGAGATAGAATTCTACTCGCTTATATCAAGAGATGGAACATATCTAACTTTAATAACGTTCATCTTTGTCAAGCCACTGGGTAAGCAATTAGACAGGCCATGGAAAAAAAGATGCCAATAAAACCAATAAATGCTAGATAATAATAAAAATAGCAAATGAGTTTCCACATGTAACAGTGCCAAAATATATATGGGACTGAGTCTTTGTGTGAGGTAGTACAGGCAATCACAAATATGCAAAGCAAACCATATCTGTAAACATCTTAAGCAACATGCTGAGTGAGTGGCCTTTGCATGCTCTCCAACTTTCTTCCAGCCAGAAAGCATTATTCTGAAGTGCAATCCTTTCCCTCCCCACCCCTCAAACCTCAACACCACAAGTGCCAAATTATACAGTCGTCTATATGTACCCTGTAGAATCGAATTTGTGTGAATATTTGAGAGTCACAAATTCGTCTCTAGGGGAGTATATGGACGATGCCAGAGCCTTGTAAAGTTCTGCTTTCCTTTGATTCCCTTAATTGCAGCTGTTCTAATTAAATCCTCAAATACTGGTTATGTCATTTTAAAAGGTAGTTATTCAAGTGCAAAACACCCTTAGCTTCTGCCAGGACAGCGTGGGGGTGGCTTGTTAAAGGTAGACTGAATAATAATGATGATTGGGGATGAGGATCATAATAATAATAAAATCACATTATTACTTTTCATATAAAGAAGAAACAGCAGAAGTCTCAGCCAACAGCACAAAAAGCCCCAACCATTTCATGTGACTGATTTATGGCGTTTTACAACCCCATAAAAGCTGTAACAACGAGCCAAAAGCCTCCGACACCGCTGGCACGTTTAGTCTAATAAATAAAACATAAACAGTTAACTTTATGTGTCACTTTTATTGTTATCAAGTAAAATATGGCAATGCCCTGCAAGCTATGATTTCCAACTATAATTGTTATCAAGCAGTACAAGGGATTAATCCGACTCCCTCTGCCCCTCTGTTTAGTGCAAGCTATAGATAAACCCCTTAATTGCAATAACTGCACTCTCCAAAATATTTACATCGATTTCCAGTTTCTGTACTTGCACAGGGGGTCTATTTGTCCTGACATCTGGGAAAGGGAGCCATTTTTATATATGTTATCTCAACCTTTCCTCCCGCCCTCTATTAAAGCAGCTAGTTAAATGGGTCTTTTCAATGGACGTTGCAAGAGAAACTAATTCTCTGGCTGGATGTGGAACTATGAACCACATGTCTATCTATCTATCTATCCCCATCCACACTATCTATCTATCTATCTATCTATCTATCTATCTATCTATCTATCTATCTATCTATCTATCTATCATCTCACATACATGTATGCTTATTTAAATGTATGTATGTATGTATGTATATTATATGGAGCTTTGGCAGACTGGAAAGGGCAGAATTTTGAATGACGAAAACAAAGCATAATCACCCTGTAAAAGCCAGTAGGAATAAAAATACACAAGTAGTTTTACAAGTATAGAATTGTTGTCACTCCAAAAGCATTCCTGCCTTCTGAGTGGGTGGAAAGGCTGTGTAGCTATGATCTTTAATACACAAATAGATCCTATCAGTTTCCAAGGAAATGAGATATCTCTTAAGCAAAGGTTGGGAGCATTTAGAGAACTCTAAATTACGGAGCCATGATTTGCATATTCCCTTTTACGTCTCAGGTAACTTGTTTCCTTCCCTTCCCTCCCCACCCCCCATTCAATTATGTATGTTTAACAATATTCCATTTTGGGTGGGGGAAACAAATTTACTAGCAAAGGCACTTAAACTGCCCTATGCTACTTAGGGGTGAAAAGGGGGGCAGTTTTGTAACCTAGCATTTATTTAAAGTGAAAAATTCAACATATTCTGAGCATGTCTTATTCTGTGCAGGGTAAAGTGATAGTTAATTTTCATAATTAAGGCTTGTTCTGTTGTTGATCTGCAAGATCTGGGGGGAAGTCCTACCACGGAGACATTTCTAAAATCCAGCCTGCGGCGGGTTGGGGGGTATTATGAGGAATATTCCCCACATGTTCCCTCACCCCCTTTACAAAAACCGGTAGGATTTTATTATTTTATTTTTTTCCTTACACATATGTCTTTTTCGGCGGGTGGAGGAAAGGGGATCGGTTGATCCTTCTCACCATCCTGACTCTTTTGCTCCTAGTTTTGAGATCACACAAACAACAACCAACAACAACAACAATGCACACACATACACACACAAATTGGATACATTTTGAAAAAGCTTTTGGTTCCTTATCCGGGGACTAGGCTGGCTGGTGTGATTGGACAAGGGAGTCACATGGTGAAAGTAACTTTACGGGGTCGCCAGCTTGTAGGAGGGCTTTATGGAGCAGAAAAACGACAAAGCGAGAAAAATTATTTTCCACTCCAGAAATTAATGATCATGAGCTCCTATTTGATGGACTCTAACTACATCGATCCGAAATTTCCTCCATGCGAGGAATATTCGCAAAATAATTACATCCCAGACCACAGTCCGGAATATTACAGCCGGACAAGGGAGTCCAGCTTTCAGCATCATCACCAAGAATTGTACCCACCACCAAGACCAAACTACCCAGAGCGCCAATACAGCTGTGCCAATATTCAAGCTCCCGGCAACCCAGCCGCGCACCAAAGGGGACATGGGCAAACTCAAGGAGGCCACCACCTCTCAGAGAAACCGCAGCAGTTGTGTGAGCAGACTGCTCTTTCCAGTTCCTCCACCTCTCCTTCCCCAGCCCCTACAGCCTGCAACCAGCCAAACCCTGAGCATCTTAACAGCACAGCTTCTAAGCAACCTATAGTCTATCCATGGATGAAAAAAATCCACGTCAGTACTGGTAGGCAACTTTTTTTCTCTCCCTCTGCTCTGTCTTCCTTCCTATTTTCACACCATGCTCTCGCTCGCTCTCGCTCTCACTCTTTTTTTTTTTTTTTTTTTTTTCCTTCCCTTCCATGAGAGTCTTTGGGTTAGCACAATTGAGCTGGATTTACGACTCGGAATGGGTAATTACACCCACCATAAATTTTATAGCCAAGCTAGTCTGGGCAGCCTTAGCCATGTGGTTCATTCTGTTATGTATGTGTGAAACTCCTAAAGCTTTGTAAGGGGTGCATAAATAATTCAGTCTTTTGAGCCAGGGAAACCCCTTCTTATTAGAATAGAAAGTCTTGGGCTGCCAGAAGTTCTTTATAACCCATTTAGCTGATTACTTTTTCCTGAGCCACTCTAGATTTCCTGTCTCTGTCTCTCCCCCTCTCCCTCTCTGTTCTGTCTGCTTCTCTCTCTCTATTCATGCTAATCTTTGCTTTTCCAGTGAATCCCAATTACAATGGAGGCGAGCCCAAACGTTCCAGGACTGCGTATACAAGACAGCAGGTCTTGGAGTTGGAAAAGGAGTTTCACTATAACAGGTACCTGACAAGGCGACGGCGCATCGAAATAGCTCACTCCTTGTGTCTCTCGGAAAGGCAGATCAAAATCTGGTTTCAGAACAGGCGGATGAAATGGAAAAAAGACCACAGGCTGCCCAATACCAAAGTCAGATCCTCGACTCCATCTAATTCATCGGCGGGCACCATTGCTGCTGGTAACGCGGCCCCCAGCGAGGAACTATCACCGAGTACAGCTCAGGATCAGCGAGCAGAGGATATCACAAGGTTATAAACAATATCACACACACACACAAAATTGACTCTGATTATTTATAGAATCTAATATATATATATATATTTTGGTTCTTTTCTTGTAGTTTTCCTGTGCGTATAAAAAACAATGAGGTCTTCTGTAAGACCACAGGCTTAAATGCATGTAACATAGCATGAAGCCAGGTGACCGAGTACCTGCAGGTTTTTTTACGCCATTTCAGGGTTTTATTTATTTTTTAAGGGGTAAGGAAGGGGGGGGGAGAGGTCAACGTTCTGTTAGATGAATTTAATGAACAAATAAGAATAATCAAAAAGAAGGAGAATGTAGGTATTGTACCCCCTGCATTACAAATGCACAATGATCTGCCGAGAATAAAATGGAGCATTGAAATTCTTTTGTATAAATGTGAAAAAAAGCTAAAAAAAATCATGATTCAAAAGAAAAAAAATCACACAAACCAGGTTGAGCGAGTAATTGGTTGAAATTTTGAGAAGCGGGGAAAAAAAGAAAAGGGAAGGATAGTGACATATTTAAAAAAAGAGCAAGGTTTAAACAAAGTCAGTAGCTAGGTTTTTTGTCGTGGTTATTTGTGTTTTTGGACTGATTTTACATGATCATTGTAAACTTGCAATAAAGCGTTTTAGTGTGTATGTGAAAGTCCCAGTGTTCAATAAACCAGTGAGTGTGAATTAGTTTTACTTTAATGTCTGGTGGCTTATTTTACTCTCTACATTCCCCTTGCCCTAAAAAAATAGAATAATAATCCTGGGATTGTGGCATTAATTCCATGTGCAGGAGTTACTGCTTAAATTAAGTCTAAACAAACATAAAAATAACTCCGTATTTTAGATTTTATGACATCACAACTTGGTCAATGTATTTCAATCTCTGATTCTCTTAGTCAAACATATACTGGGAGGGGGGAGAGGGGAGGAATCTTGTTTTGAGAAAGGAACAGTGATGTGTGTTTGGGTTAGAATATCATTCATCTGTCTCTGTTTCCCCCCTATTTAATATAAGGGTTTTCTGGTTTTTTCCCTTTCTCTACACTTCTGTTGTTTTGTTGTTGTTGCAAGATTATGTGAACTGGTTCATTCATAAAAGCCAATAGGTTTCTTCTAATCTTCTTCCAAAGACAGTAAAAGCTTTGGCAAAAAGGCATTCTTGCTCTTGGACTTTGAATAAATGATCCAAACCGAGAGTTACATGGATAGTTTAGCAAGAAATTTGTCCCACAACTGAAGGTTTGTTTACTTTCCTGGAAGGATGAGATAACTGTAAGAAAGAGTTGTGTGCAAATGGGGAAGTTATACATAGCTGTTTTCTAGGCCCCAATCTTTTGCAACTTTGCAGCATGTTCCTTTTCAGAACTACTGTCCCAGTCTGAAATAACATAGGGGTGCCAGATTTTCAGGTAGGCCTGTTTAAAGACATTTATTCTTCAAGCATTTAACACTATCCCAATGTCTTGCATTAGGATAGTTGGCCAGTTGATTAGATCTCTTTAACCCACCCCAGAATAGAGATTATCAAATCTGAATGAAGGGGGTTAGGATAGGGGATCTTTCTGTTACCTTTATTTTTATTTTTATTTCATTTGTACTTGTTGGCTCTCAGAAACATGTATAGCCTTCCCTTAAACAAATAATGGTCTCAGAACCTATTGTGATAGCTAGTGAGAGAGATCCTGAAAGGGGAACATAGATTATTATTACTATTTATAATACATCGTGTACCTGTGAAGCTCATCAGTTCTTTACATTCCTGCTGATCGACATTAATATAAGAGTGAGAATGGAGAAAAATGTTGCCATAGTAAATAGACATCGTCTATAGTTCTCTTTAAACATTTCCACCTCCAAGCAGAGGAATGTGTTATGAGTTGGTTGTAATTTTTTCTCTCCCTCTGATTCCTTGCCTGTAACAGACAATCTCACACACTTTACCAGTAAAAAAAAAGGCATTTAAATTCTTTTTATATATAATAAAGTGAATTAGCTAGCTAATCTGTAACAACGCATCCTCCAAAGGGAAAAAAGAGAGCCTTTACTCGAGGTTAGAGACACTGGCTTCAGACACATCCACCATGCATATACATTGTAAAGAAAACAAAGGCTAAAAGTCCTAACCTTGTAATAATGGTGCTGCTACAAAGTTGAACTGGCAATTCATAGCCAAGTAACGTGTATGTGTTCATCAGTAGAAACCTACATGTGCTAGTTCTGCAGACTAAACTAAGGCTAGTGGGGGTGGGCTGGGTGGAAATATTTCTGTTTAAAGCTTGATCCACTCCCCCCCCCTTCCCTTTTTGCAAAGTGCATCATAACTTGATGAATTATAACGGGGTGTTCTGAGAGGGCACTGGCTCTGAATGCGATAAGACTTTTTTGTTGTGTGTGTGTTCTCTCTCTGAGTGTCTGATGAGGAAGCAAAGGAAACATTAATCACATTTTCAACTATATAGTCTGCATATTCAGTAATAAAAAAAATCACATTTAGGTATATGCCTTTTCGTTCTTGTACCTACTTTTCTGTTCCAGTTCTTTGCTCTGAGACTAACTTTACTTTTTCACCTCTTCTCTGCATTATGCTGAGTATTATTTAGCATCTTACTTAGCCTTTAGACTTGGCCATGACACAATTCCTGGCATGGAGGGAGATTATGAATGCATTATATAGCCAGGCAGCAGGGGGAAGAAGAAAAAATTAATGTTCCTAGCTACAAGCAGCCTGCACCATAGTCTCTTTTTAGCCTCTTGACGCCTCCATGTTGGGAGCCTGAAAGATACTTTATTGAAGTTCGGGTAAATGGCAAAAATGGGTTCACTGAAAGGACAACTTTTCTATCCCATCAGCTTTATTCTAGCCAGGCAGGGTGACCTCTAAGCCCCCCTGACCCGGGTAGGTCTCACAACGTGTACCTTCTGTGTCTCTCTACATAGATTTAGCGGCACCACTACTGTTTAGCGTCTTTGTAGATTTTACCATAGTAATGGGGGAGAGATGGGGCAGATTCAATGCGTGTTATCGCATTGTGTTGTCACCAAAATAATCCAAGAGAAAGGAAGAAGGGTGAAGTTACGGCCAAATCTCTCTTCTCACTTCCCGCCTTCCCATGGTTTATTTCCCAACTGGCTACTACCCTATGACCAGATCAAAGTATCCAACGCCAAGTAAGTAGCTTTGCACTTTAAAAAACACGGGGGAAGTTTGCAAAGCGATGATTCAAATCAGGAGGTAAATGCAATCGAGCGAGAAGGGAGAGAATTTTTGTATCAGAGGGGAAACAATAGTTTATTCTGGTTAGGAGTGCAAAATGGTCCAGATATACCATGGCACGTATAAGTCTGGTACACGGGGCTGCATTACCCCCACTCCCCATCATCCTGTGTTCGAAGATTAGAAGCTCTTTAATTTCAGTGCTCTATGTTCCAGATTTACGTCGGCACATATAGATTTGTCATCATGTGGGGGTATGTTCCCCCTCAAACTGTGTATTTCATTGTTCGGTGATTGGATATTATCTCTACTTATATTACTGGGCTATAAAAGTAACATCATCAACAAAAATGTTTCTCGAGGATCAAATTAACATCTCAGGTCAGTTTATTTTAACTCATTTTCTTCTAGTCCAATTTGCTTGAAAATGACCCGCTTATTTATTTATTTATTTTTTTTTGTTTCCCCTCACAATTAGATTTTTGAGGATTAAGATTCTAACATGAGTGAGAAGCAGTTTACAAGGCTTTAACGAGCTATAAAAAAGACGTTAGAAAGCCCTTGTATACAGACCCTTGAAGGGACCTCTGTTAAATGTAGTTCAAGAAGCTGTGAAACTTAGTTTCCTGTATTGCCTGTTAAAAACCAACAGCTCCAGAGATGTTTGGGGAGATAACTTCCCACAAACAAGGGCCTTCAGGCGTTATCTAAGTGCCTTCAGTTTTATGAAAACTTTTCCAGTATATAGATACACATGTTTTCCCCTTTTGCTCTAGGGCTAATCCACAGAAGTGGCATAGTTTAACTTCCAGACTCTTCAGTTAACATAATATCCCAGGTCTTTACAGCCACTTGTGTCCTTTATCCCTCACATAGTTGGAAAATGTTCGTCTGCACTGTTAATTGTAATTAAAAGACAAACATTCAGCCAGGCTTAAGTGAATGAGTTACGGGTTTGCAACCATAACTGACAGCACCTCGAACGTGTAACTTACATTTATTGTGGTCTCGTATATCATTATCCAGAGATATAGTTTTATGTACTTCCTAATCTGTCCTTATGATTTATTTTGATGGGCAAGGTACCAAACCAAACATTTTGGGACTTTAGTGAAAGACTAGTATTTCCTTACAAACAGCCAGCAGCCGTTATGGTAATGGTATTAACAGTTTCTGGCAAATGACACCCTTTTCTGTTTGTTTGTTTCATTGGCTATGGATTGTCTTCCTATGAGGAAAAGTATTTTCCCAACTCAGCAATAGATAGTTTTGAGTTGAGAGAGAGAGTGTGTGGTGGGGGGGGGGGGGGGGGGAGAGAGAGAGAGA